AATCAAATATAGGCTCCGAATGGAGAAAGCGTATCGAGCATAGCAGATCAAGCGGATCAAGCGTATCAAGCAGAACAAAAGTGGATTAAGCAGATCTAGTGGTACAAGTGCGGATCAAGCGGTTCGAACGCTTTAGAATATGTGTTGAATGGTGAAAGCAAATCTTTTACATAAACGATACATACTAAAAATAATTATATTAAATAAATTTATAGTATTGGTTTAACATATTCTTGATTATAATCTATAAATACAATAAATATATTTATTATTATACATATGTAAAACATTAAACAGAAAATAGTTTCAAATAAATAAATAGATAAATATCTCTAATATTTGATTTATATTATTATGTTATCATGTAAAATTTGGTTAAGTTAAATGATAAAGTAACATTGTATTTGCATAAAAAAATTGATCACAAAAGAAACGTAGTTGATACACTCATTATTTACTGCGTTAATATTGTAGTTAGCGGATCATTGTTTTTGTTCATATTGACTCCGAATGGAGAAAGCGTATCGGGCGGAGCGGATCAAGCGGTTCAAGCGTATCAAGCAGAACAAAAGCGGATCAAACGGATCTGACGGAAAAAAGCGGATCAAACAAATTTGGCGGTTCAAAATATGTGTGAATGGTAAAAGAGGATCAAGTGATGCGGTTCAAACAATATTATTTAGATAAAACATTTACTGAAAAATAAATACATAGTATTATAAATTATGTTAAATATGTACTCATGATTATGAACAAAAATTAATTAAGAATCTATAAAAATTTAGTTTGCAAATCCATATAATTTATCTAGAGTACTACTTCCTTAGTTCCTTTTTAGTTGATTTTTTAGGAGAAAAAAAATTTCTTCTAAATTAGATGATGTTTTAAGTTTTTAATACTATATTAATTAATTTTTATTAGTTTTGATATTTTTATTTTGCAAATTATTTTTCTACTGGTTGAATAGATAATATATGATGTTTTAGTTTAGATATAAACAAAAATTAAATATTTCTTTCATCGGTGTTTAAACATCAAGTAAAAAAACGGAAGAAGTAGTAATTTGAAAATTACATACATATAGGATATTAGTAAAAGTATAAATTATGTGTTTCATAAGGGACTACTAAAATGATATATGTATATCTTGATGTATTTAACACAATAAATTGATTCTTAATTTTGGTGTACTTATGTCAATAGAAAGAAAAACAATAATTATTATGAACAAATAAATCATTAATATAATTAAAAGATGTAACATAAAATTTGGGTGGTCTAAACAATATTTATGAATATATATTGTAGACTAGATAAAAAAAATAGCACAGTTAATGTTTTATATTTTGGAAAAAGAAAAGAGAATAAAAAAATAAACTTCAGTAAAAAAAAAGCAGATCTCACACCAATCCACCACTATTTAGGTATGGACGAACCGTCCCGCTAACAAAAAAGAAAGTATGAGCAAACAAAAAAAAAAATTCTTTTTTTTTATTTTATGTGGTTCAAAAGCAGATGGTTTGCTAATTGTTAACTTTTGTCTGAATGGAAACACAAGTACAGATCATCTTCTTCCTCTAATGAACCACCTTTGTTCTGTTTCCCCATTCAAGGCCACAATGTACAATTGAAAAGTTACATCATCTTTTAGGGCTGTCCGATTTATCGAATACGTCAAAGGACAATGTTATTGGAGAACAGTCCTGCGGTGTTGAAGAACTACTAAAGCATCATTGATGTCGGGTAAAGCTTCAACAGCAGTTAGGAGTTGCTTGTCCATGCAATCCATCAGCTCCTGGATCGAAAGTGACTAATCAGGACTTGAAACATTCTCCATTTTCAAAAGAGCATCATGTTGACGTGTTAGACTTATGCACCAACAAAAGTCTGTTTTCCATCAAAAGCATAAAACAAAGTGTTACTTAACAAAGCAGAAAATATAATCTCAAAATCTGATAACAGACAGTAAAAAACATACATCTTTGTTGAGCCATGGTCAGTGCCGGTCCGGTAAAATTTGAGGCCAAATACGAAAATAAAATTAAGGCCTCTTTAAAAAGTAAAAATTGTTAAATTTTTTTTTTACAAATTATGAGATATTCATAATTTTTATTTATTATTTTGAAAAAAAATTCTGGACATTATTTGTTAATAACGAGACTTTTTTACTAATTGTGGAATTTTTTTGGCTAATTTCAGGCTTATTTTATAATTTTGAGGTCTAATTTTTTTTAAAAAAAAAAAAGAAAAAAAAAATTCTCAACAAAATGGTCTCAAAAATTTGAGGCTCAATACAAATGTTTCTTCAAAATTGGTGCAGTGCAGGGCCGGGCCTGACCATGGTGGGCTCAAGTATTGGTAGATTTACGAGTTTCTATGTTCGGTAATCCTATAATCACAGAGAAACATAATCTACCGGTTAACAATCATCAACAACCTAAAAATGACCTAGAAACTAATCAAAACTAATGAAGTTTTCGTAAAGCAGATAAATTCGAAATTGTAACATAGATTTCCAAGTTGTAAAGAAATATCTCATGCTGATTTCAACCAAACGATAAAAACAAGATTAAAAAGGAAAAGTTCATAGGTCATTAAAGCAAGTACCGATTTCTCAGTTTATAATCTCGACAAATTATCTGCTTTACGAAAAATATGGAAAAATTGGAAATAAAGGATAAATATTTAAGTATTTGTCCATATATGAATTCTATGAACAAATATCAGCTATTCCTAAACTACCCCTTGCATAAGATTGAACCAATTGTTTCAAAAATAATTAAGAAAAATATGTATTAAAATGATAAAGAAGACATGAAGATATATAAAATGTCAAAAATATATTGTTTTGTTTTCGTTTTAGATGGATATAATTTGATCTATAAAGTTTAGAATATGTCTTCTGAAATTAGAATGTATATTCTATACACTCTGCATGTCCTACAAAATTTAGATTATGTATTCTACACACTCTACATGTTCTACAAAATTTAGAAGTCATTTCTGTTCTCCGGTATTTAGAATACTAGTTTCTACGACTTTTAGAATACATATTCTATACTTTGTTCTTTGTTCTACAAAAATTAGAATATGTTTTCTAACATTTACTCATGTTCTAAGAATGTTAGAAAACATATTCTTGAGATTTTTTTTATTCTATAAAAATTAGAAAGTACATTCTATCTAATTTATATTTTTAAAAAAATCTTAAAATATGGAAATTGAATATAGTGAATTTGATTACATCTGAAAATTACAGAAGTTGAATTCTGAATACTTAAAAATTCTTTATACCTAAGTGAATAAATTATAACACAAATTATAATTTTTCTTTATACTTCACACTTTTTCCTATAGATTACGCTTAATTTCTTGTCTCAAAACCCGGAAAATTAGTTGAATTTTGAATACTTTAAAAGTCTTTATACCTAAGTGAATAAATTATAACACAAATTAGAATTTTTCTTTATACTTAACACTTTTTCCTATAGATTACGCTTAATTTCTTGTTTCAAAACCCGGAAAATTATAGTTGTGCTCCATAAAGAAATTGAAATCAAGGGAGAGAGATAGAGAGAGAGATTGAAGAAGAAGAAGAAAAAAAAATTTATTTAATATGGCGTTATTAGAGAGGAGAGAACAATTACGTAAGCTTAACTTTGATGAGCAAGAGAATCAAAGAAGAAGAAGATATGAAATTATCTACGGCAAAATAAATAATGGAATGTAAATAAATGTTGATTTTGTCATATATTTTTTCCAAATTGTTTTTAGAAAGAAATCAATTTAATTTTGAATTTTTTTAATAGTTTAGTAAAATTTTAAAAGATTGGGGGCATATTGGGATTTTAATTATATGAAATCATATATGACCAATATTAAAGTATATATGACCAATCATGAATATAGAATGCATAGATGGACAATAGTTTAATTATTTGTCCTTTATTTCCAATTTTCCCAAATATATATATATCGCATTTACTACTATGATATACTACAATTTGTCAATTTTCTAGTTATTAGTTTATAGTAATAAGAGAGAAACCAGCAAAACATATTTATATCAGAATTTTCGTCATTAATTGTACTCATAGCGAAATAGATACCAAGTACATAGACACACTTTCGAAAATCACTCAGAAAAACACAGTAATAAAAAATGTTGATTGGTGTTTAGAGTACGGTTTTCACAAAACTTTTGTGAAATCCACAATAACTCTATTTCTCATCACTACCTTAAAATAAATATAATACTCCGGTTAACATTAGCTTTCCTTGTACATATGGGTAATCAAATGAGAATCAAATATTTTCATTTTTTTAATCAGACATTTTCAATTTTTTGTAAATTAAAGGGACAAGAATCAAAGATTTTCATAAATTCACAAGACTTGCATAAACTAATACTAACACATAAATAAATACAAAAAAAGGAACAAAATTAGGCTTTTTAATAGAAAATGGACATGTTCTTCAATTCTTGCTTTTTGGGCTCTGCCTGTCCGTGTCTCGAAACACCCAGAGAGATACTCTCTCTTATCTGTCTTTTACTTAGCTGGTATCTTCTTCTTTATTGCTACTTTTTTTTTTCCTTCGATGTCGATCCATTTCCCTTAAGGGTGATTTGCAAAAGTAGCCAATTTTGAAAAAGTTATTAAATTTATAACACCATAATCTTGGATATTAAGTGAGTAACACATGTGGTGTATGAAAAGACAATAAAATCCTTTCAGTCTCACGAAGAAAATGAAGGCGTGAAGAGAGAGAGAAAAGAGGTGCGTGAAGAGAGAGAGGGAAGAAGAGAGGGGGAGAGAGAGAAAGAAGAGAGGGGGAGAGAGAAAGAAGAGAGGGACGTGGAGAGAGAGAGGGAAGGAGAGAAGAACAGAGGGAGAGAGATAAGAGAGGGACGTGGAGAGAGAGAAGGGAGAGAGAGATTGAGAGGGACTAAATCTGTCTTTATTACAAATTTTTGTTGGTTATAAAGTCAAATTATCCTTTCCCTTAATCCCTCTGAAAATTACATTTTTTTCCATGTATTTCACCAAATCTTAATTTTTCCAAAAAAAAAAACCTTTTCTATATTCTTCAAATCTCAAGTTCTCTAATTTCTCATTCGACCTCGAAATTTGACCAATTAATACTCTCAAATATCGGATTTTCTTCCTCTGAAAAAAAACAAAAACCAAATCTTAATTCTTCAACAACCCAAGTCTGCTAAAAATCTCAACTTTTAAGTCAAAATTTTGTATCCTCTCACCAATTCCTAGTTCCAAAAATCTCACCTTTATCTCAAAATTTTCAATCTTTCCTCCTCAAAAACCCCCAAATCTCTACTCTTCAAAAGACCCAAATTCTCAAATCTCATCTTTGAGTCAAAAAGTTTCAATCTTTCCTCTGAATTCTGAAACCCCAAAATCTCTAATTTCAAAAAAATCTCACCTTTATCTAAAAAGTTTCAATTTTTCCTCCTCAAAGCCCCAAAAATGTCAGTAGCTTGTGGACTAGAATGTGTCTTCTGCGTCGGATTCAGTCGATGGGCATGGAAACGATGCACACACGTAGGCTCCGACGATAGTGCCACGTGGACATCAGCAACACCTGAAGAATTCGAACCAATCCCAAGAATCAGCCGTGTAATCCTCGCCGTCTACGAACCCGATCTAAGAAACCCTAAAATCTCACCTTCATTAGGAACTTTCGATCTAAACCCTGATTGGGTCATCAAACGTGTGACACACGAAAAAACCCTAGGAAGATCTCCACCGTACATAATCTACATAGATCACAACCACCGTGAGATTGTTTTAGCGATTCGTGGTTTGAACTTAGCTAAAGAGAGTGATTACAAGATTCTTTTAGATAACAAATTAGGTCAGAAAATGCTTGGTGGTGGTTTCGTGCATCGTGGGTTATTGAAATCTGCTGCTTGGGTTTTGAATCAAGAATCTGAAACACTTAGGAGAGTTTGGGAAGAGAATGGTAAAGAGTATGATTTGGTTTTTGCTGGTCATTCTTTAGGTTCTGGTGTTGCTGCTTTGATGGCGGTTTTGGTTGTTAATAAACCGGAGATGATTGGTGGTATTCCGAGGAGTAAGATTCGGTGTTTTGCTTTAGCTCCGGCGAGATGTATGTCGCTTAATCTCGCCGTTAAGTATGCTGACGTCATCTTCTCTGTTATTTTACAGGTTAAACTTTTTTTAACTCATTTTTTGTTATTACTTATAAAATGATTCAAGAAAAATAGATTAGTGAAGTAGAAGTAAAAAAGTTTATGTGAATTTCGTAAATTTAGCTGATTTTAGACACTGGATTTGCAATGTTAAATGTGGGATAATTGATAATTTTTTAACAAAAAAAATAATAATATATCAGAAAGGTTAAATCTTTCTTGTAATTATGAAATTTTGCTTAGGTAAATTAAGTATTTAAGGGTTTTGGTTTAGTTGTTTAAGGGGTTAGAGATTTGATTTTGACAACTAATTTGTTGATTTATAAACGATTTTGAATATTTTTATAGTTTTTGATATGAAAATTAAATTATTTTTGTAACTGTCTTTTTGGATGGTGGTGGTTGGTTCATTGTTGACCAAGCATTGTCATAATCATCATCCGTAAGTTAAGAATATGCTTTTGTGCTTTATACATTGAATCGACAAATTGAATTTTTCTTTTTGCTTCTTGAGTTTGATCTGAATATTCTGGTGAATTTTGTACTAGTTTTGGGAGGTTGTTTAGTTGTTAAGAAAGGTATCTATAGAGAGAATTTTCATAGAGTAAGGTACTTACTAGTTACTACTAAGTAGACGAATTTTAACAAAACTTAGTGTTTGTGGGATAATAGGATGATTTTTTACCAAGAACGGCGACACCGTTGGAGGATATTTTCAAATCCGTATTCTGGTAAGTGTCGGAACTTCTCTTTTCTTGTTGGTATGAACTTATCATAGTTAATTCAACATTTTGTATTTGTTGTTTGGACAGCTTGCCTTGCTTGTTGTTTTTAGTTTGTTTGAGGGATACATTTATACCAGAAGGTCGGAAACTAAGAGATCCTAGAAGACTATATGCTCCTGGTCGAATTTATCATATCGTTGAGCGAAAATTTTGCAGGTAATAATGAAGTTAGTGCCATTTCTTATCTAAATTCATTTGTGTTTTTCCTCTGATTATTGTTTATATTTAGATGTGGAAGGTTTCCTCCTGAAGTGAGAACGGCAATTCCCGTGGATGGTAGATTTGAACATATTGTATTATCATCGAATGCAACGTCTGATCATGCGATTCTATGGATAGAAAGAGAAGCAGAAAAGGCATTGCAGGTGACATTTATTTTTTATATCTAAGTTAAGCAAAACAAAAACAAGACCACACAAACAAATATATTATGCGATAGTTAGGAAAAATTCTAAGACAATATATAGATGAAATCATGAAAAGAACAGGATGCATATTTATGTATTAGTTAGGCATTAGGAAAAACTATTTTGAGCCATTTTTACAATTCCTCCTCAAAATATTAAGAGATTAGTTAGGCTTTTAAAAATGGTGGGTTTTGTGTTTTGTGGTTACAGATATTGAGAGAGAAGAGTTCAGAGACAGTGGCAACAATGCCACCAAAAGAAAAGAGAATGGAGAGGTTAAACACTTTAGAGAAAGAGCACAAAGATGCGTTGGAGAGAGCGGTTAGTCTCAATATCCCACACGCAGTGTCCACCGCTGAAGAAGAAGAAGAATGCAATAATGGAGATGCATCGGCGGAGTCAAAAACGAAGAAGAAGAATTGGGATGAAGTGGTGGAAAAGCTTTTCCATCGAAGTGATTCGGGAGAATTCGTTTTCAACGATAACTTTGTTCCTGAAAGGTAGCCTTATGTCGGATCGATTGTGATTGGATTGGGTTTGTTTTTACTCAATTTTGTTCATCATGTACTGTACATGCAATTCTAGGCTTGTGGATTACTGGATTTGTGAGAGAATGTCTATAATCCGGTTGAAATTGGTCTGAGACAAGACAAGTAAAGAAAATTTTGTCCAAATCGTTCTCACTTTTTTAACCTCCATGTAAAATCTCAAGTAGAACTTAAATCTTAAAAGAGTTAATTTGGTAAATACCCAAAACTAACTATAAATTACTCATTCCAATTTTTATTAAGAAAAAAACAAATTTAAGACGACTAGATGATTCTTAACAGCTTTCATTTACTTTACACAATCAAACCACCAACAAAACCATAAAATCACTAGAAACGAAGAGCATGAAAAAAAGAGAGAAGCATGATATCATCTGAAACTAGTTAAGTAGTAAGAACAACAACACAGATTTGTTGCTGGATTTAAGAGGTGTTCATAGCATCAGCGTGATAGCTCTCAAGATCCTTGTCAAGATCAGCAGCTGACTTTTCCACTGGCTTCTTTCCATTTCCTCTTCCACCACCACGACCACGGCCGCCACCACCACGCCCTCTACCACGAAACCCGCCTCTTCCCCCTCTCATCCCTCCCTGCTGGTTATGACTGCCACCAAAAGAAATAAAACATTTATTATTTCGATCTAATAAGGTAGACCTAAGCATTTGATTTTTCGGTTGGGTTTTTAAGGTTTCGGGTTTGGAAAAGAAGTGCAAACTATAACTGACGTTTATCTCAAGTTGGTTTGCCTCGATGAGGCTTTTGACAAAAAACAAAACATTTTTCAAAACAAAAGAAGTCAACTAACTATGAGTTGTGATTTATTTGGTTGCATCAAATTAGATATTTGTTATTATGAAAGTCAGTTCGGTTCCAGTTTGACAAATCTCAGTTTGGTTCTCCCCTACAGGTATTAAAGAGAACGGAATTATACTTACATTGGAAGGCGACGACTGATAGTAGGAGCTGGACCTCTTCCTCCTCTCCCTCCTCTAACTCTTCCTCTCCCTCCTCCTTGTCTACAAGCATCAGAGAAGAATGTGTAAGTCTTGGATTTAGTCTCACAGCAGTTATTCATGCCATTACTGAAAAAAGGAACAGAAATTCATACTGGATAACAACAGTCCTCTTCAGCCTTCCGTTGAGACCAGTGACATTCACATTCACACGACCAGATAAAGGAGCCTCGGAATTGTTGCCACCCAAAATCTCAAGTCTCATTGGCCTTCCATCCAATAATACATTGTTGTATTTCTTCAGAGCTTGAAATGCATCACTTCTTCTTGGATACACCACTTCAGCTGTGCCCTGTAGTTCCATGGCACAAAACAAAATCACTGTTAGAAAACATATAAGATAAAGTTTTTCACAATCATGAAGAGAATGGGAATGATAAAGATTTGTGAGGACTTACACTTGGACGCCCATTTTTATCATAATGAATCGCATAACGCTCTACCTCCCCAATCTCAGAGAAGAGTTCCTAGATTCCACGAAGATACATTTTAGTGTCTGGCTCCCCTCTAAAAAAACAAAAGCACATATTATAGAAGTCTGATTATACCCTTATATCTTCATTTGTCACACCCTGGTCCAGATTTGTAACATGGAGCCTAGTTCCAACTTCAACTCCTGATACCCCAGCAGCTCTTAAGCCATCTTCAAACAAACCACTTTGCCATGGCAAGCTCCTGACCCTACGGACAGGCTATTCAATAGAACATAATCACTTCAGTACAACATGTCTGTCGAACTTCAAAAACAATGTCAACGAAAAAAAAATTCCAAAGAAGAGACCACCCATTTGGCTGAAAGAGCGAAAAGCAGTCAAAGTAATGAGCTCCACCGAGTAGTCAAGAACCACCCAATGAGAAAACCAAATGAAATGGAGGAACAATGAATTTGACTGACTGCATATTGGTCACTGATCCGATTCCAAAACAAACTCTTTGTACCAAGGCTATGATGATAAAAGTAAAACCAAGACGCTCATAGCATGCTGAAGAAAATCCAGATGTAGCATGAGGTTCATCACTAACTTCATGTATTATACAGATAGACTGTGTAGGGGTAAGGTTAAGTCACTACAAAGCGTATTTACTGCAAGAACAGTTACTGAACATTCCTCAAACGCCACAACACCACATATCTTTGGAGGATTTTAAGCTGTGGCTGAAAAGCACAACAATCAACATGTCTAACTTATCTACTGGAAGAACAAATATTGGTCTTCATCTTACTGAAGCTCCTCAGCTTCGAAGTACTGTTGCAAAAGCAACCAATAACTTGTCTGCCAAAGTCCTCACAATTTAACAACATAAACCACAAAGTACACTGAAACTGCAGGGGTAAGAGGTTTGCCTAAATGAAATCATCTCCATGAACTAGAAAGAAGCATGTATCACCTCCTAGACGAGGTTCTGAATGCTAAAGAATGTCAAACTATCATCAGAAGCAAGGCTTTTCGCATGTACGAGAAAACCTGCTTCTCCCATCGTTTAGATATAGCATGATGAAGTAAATGCTTTGGTATATGATACCACAGAAACTCAGATTTCCAAATCATACACATAGAAGATCCCAGATTTTGTGCTTGCCTTGTTAATGGACAAAGACGATGGGCGAGCATTCACAGCAAGAGGACCTCTTCGAGCAGGTCCAGCTCCTCTTCTACCACCGAGAAAACCATTTGATCCACCACCACCACGGCCACGACCACGACCAGGACGAGAATTTCCTCTTCCCCCAGACCTTGCAGTCTTACCCCTCATAACAATCTCATCAAGAGTCATATTCAAAGCACCCGACATCTTCACTCCAATTGTCTTATGAAACACAATAATAAAACTGAATCTGAAAACCTGCATAGATTAGAGAAAGATTGTTTAGTTACCACCAAAAACCATGAACAAGTAAAAACATATCATAATCATAAAACTGGCTTATTCTTAAGACTAAAACAAAATTGCAAATTTAGAGCAACCCAGTATAGAAAAACTCGATCCTATCAGATTGAGAGCTAGAAATCAGGTAAACAGAACCACAAACGTAGCACATGGAGACAGTGAAATCGGATAAAACCCTAGATTACTTAGGAAGGGGAAATCTATCGTTCTCAATTTAAACAAACATCAATCAAAACCCTAGATCTATTGATCTTATATAACCTAGTCATAGTTATTGAAACGAAAACTGGGAATTGCGTGCAAGCAGATAAGAGTGGAACGAAATCAATCAAGTAAGATGGTTCAAGGGGACGAATGATTCGCAACAAGATAGAAGAAGAAGAAGAATTACCAGAAGAAGACAGTAGAATCCGAACGAGAGGAGATGGAGAGATTGAGTTTAGGGTTTTTGAGGAGCTTCGATGAGTTTTGTGCTTTTGGTTTCGTACTTTCGTTAAATTGCAGATCAGAATTTAGCTGAGAGGGGAACGAGGAAGATAATGGGGTTTAACCGTTTAAGTCTAGGGTAAGGTCAATTTCGTAATTATATAATATGTTTAGGGTTATTTTCGTCTTTACATCGATTATGAATTAGTAGAGAATTTGATTACATATTATGGTCTAAACCACGGCACTACGAAGAAATCACGAAAAGTCGGCTTTTTCGTACCTGCACAAATGAAGTGTGTTGAATTCATACATTTGATTTCTACATGTGCTAAATCATACATGCACTTTTAAGAAATTTGAATTTCAAATCCGAAGTTAACTTTTTGTGCAAAATCCTACAAAAACGTGCAAAATATTTAACACTGTTAACCCACCGTGAAATCGTAGTGACGTGGATTACACGTGTACAACGTCAACGCAAAACGACGTCGTTTTAGGAAAAATCAAAATTTCAAAAACTTAGACATTTTAAGTCTCGAACCCAGGACCTCTAATATGCAAAGACAACTCATAACCAATATGCTTGTTAAACTCCACAATCTCTATAGAATATGAAACGACAATTCGTTGTAGTTACTAGTTCGATGGCTCTTCTTCCTCCAAATTGGCTCAGATGATGACGTCTCCCTCTTGCTCGATTGCTTCTTCATGAGTTTGGTCAGATTAAATCCCCAAACCTAGTCGATTTGATTTGAATTTTTATGAACATCGATGAGTTTTAAGAACGAGTCGTTCTCTTCTTCGATCAATTCGGTGAATCTCGAACCCGACGAATGTGAATTGATGAGCAAAACGATGTCCGCTTTGGAGGTGTGGAGCAGCCGTCGTATGGGAGAAGAAGAAAAAAAAGAAAACGAAGGTTATAAATATAGTTTTGGTTAGACATACAATGAGAATTCGGTTAGCATATTGGTTATGAGTTGTCTTTGCTTATTAGAGGTCATGGGTTCGAGACCTAAAATGTCTATTTTTTTGAAATTTTGATTTTAAGTAAAACGACGTCGTTTTATATTGACGTTGTACACGTGTAATCTACGTCACTGCGATTTCACGGTGGGTTAACGGTGTTAAATATTTTGTACGTTTTTGTAGGATTTGGCACAAAAAGTTAACTTCGAGTTTGAAATTCAAATTTCTTAAAAAGTGCATGTATGATTTAGCACACGTAGAAGTCAAATGTATGAATTTAACACACTTCATTTGTGCAGGTATGAAAAAGCCGACTTTCCAAGAAATCACCATGGACGATGAAAACTAATGCCGGTTTAAATATTTAATGGGTTCTAAGACAAAAATTTAAAATATATCTCTAAACATGTAAATTATAGAGTTAATTTTTTTAAAAAATTTATGAGTATTTTTGTTAATGGTTATACGAAAGTAAAATTTTGGAAAAATGGGTAAAAAAACCCTCACCTTTCTTAAAAACATGTAAAAAATCCTCAACTTTTTTTTTGGGTTTTAAAACCCTCACCTTTTCATAAGTGGTAAAATAAACCCTAATATTAATAAACTCAACTTTTTTTTAAAATCGTCATATTAAAATAATAAGAAACAAAAATAATTTAATATATGATTTTTTCAAGTTCGAGTTTGCAATTTTTCTTTCTAAAATTAAGGTTTTTGCGCTATAAAAATTCATTCATAATTTAGTTGAGATTAGGCAAATCATTTTTGTTTCCATTAGAAGTTATGTTATATAAACTACAAAAATTTATAGGATAGCACATTTG